CCTCACCACTCTCTCGTGCTGTTGTCAGGCGGTGCGGTTACTGCACCTTAATCCCGCGTATGCGTAAAAGGGAGCGTGACGGAAGTACGTAGTGTGACGGATGTAGTGTTACGGAAGCAGCGTGACGGATGTAACGTGACGGATATTGGAATAGTACAGAGTGAGAGTGAGACCTGTCCGCACTATGGCGATCGGCAAAAAACCTACCCTATGCGTAAAAGGGAGCGTGACGGAAGTACGTAGCGTGACGGATGTAACGTGACGGATATTGGAATAGTACAGAGTGAGACCTGTCCGCGCTATGGCGATCGGCAAAAAAACCTACCCTAACATTACTGGTAGCACAGGGAACACACCAAAAAGAAGCAACAACAGGAATAGAGGGAACACAGGGAACAGTAGGAACAGCAGGAACAACAGGAACAGAGGGAACAGCAGGAACAAAGGGAACAGTAGGAACAGCAGGAACAGAGGGAACAGGGGGAACAGCAGGAACAGTAGGAACAGTAGGAACAGAGGGAACAGTAGGAACAGAGGGAACAGTAGGAACAGAGGGAACAGAGGGAAGAGTAGGAACAGAGGGAACAGCAGGAACAGAGGGAACAGTAGGAACACAGGGAACAGTAGGAACAGAGGGAACACAGGGAACAGAGGGAACACAGGGAACGGCAGGAACAGGGGGAACAGGGGGAACAGAGGGAACAGAGGGAACAGCAGGAACAGAGGGAACAGAGGGAACAGAGGGAACAGAGGGAACACAGGGAACACAGGGAACAGCGGGAACAGAGGGAACAGCAGGGAACAGAGGGAACAGGGGGAACAGGGGGAGGGAACAGACGGGAACAGTAGGAACAGCAGGAACAGAGGGAACAGTAGGAACAGAGGAAACAGAGGGAACAGTAGGAACAGAGGGAACACAGGGAACAGTAGGAACAGAGGGAACAGAGGGAACACAGTAGGAACAGCAGGAACAGCAGGAACAGAGGGAACAGTAGGAACAAGGGAACAGTAGGAACCCTGTACTATATTAATCATTATAGTAATATGTAACTGCTGATTGTGCATATTTCGTGAAACTTAAATGAAGTAACCCAAACATGTCTTCAGTCTATTACAATAGTTTCAGTATGGCAACAGAAGGATGTGTGGTGCATGCCCTTCCTGTTATACAAATCATATTCAAATCCTGCACACAGATATTATTTGTTACCATAGCAAGAGTTTCAACAACACCTAGGACAACTCTTTTTGCAGAGCTCAGCTTCTCTAGGTGGGACTCAAAACCAATACTCTAAATTTAGTGGCAGCAGTTAACACATAGATGCAACACAACACCTAAAGTGTGATCTATTGTACAGAAAAGAGCTAAAGTGCCACAAGATGCCATAATCTCACTAAGTAGGACCTATATTTATTCGGCCAGTGCCACAAGTGCTTGTCATAACAATTTTTTCAAAAACTGAAGGAGCTTCAAAGTGTGTTTGAACATGTTATTGTACTCAATAAATTGCATGTATGTTCTCTTTAGCGTAAGACTTCCAGTGCAAGAGCAACGATCATCTTATTTCATGTAGACAGTTGCCAATCAGAATTTCAGTATTGAAAGAGCTCGAAGCAAAGTGTTCTTAAGACAGCAAGCTAGTTGTGGCAATCTGCCGTAGACAGCTTGGTTCATAGAGCTGCAACTAGAATGAGAGAAACACAATTGAAGAGGTAGTGAGAAGAGGAGAGCTCGCTATGTGAGACTTACAAGAATAGACCATAACGAAGCACTGTTACTCAAGGAATTCAGAGCTACACAGGATTACCAAGCGTGGTCACTGTACGGTGACCCATTTATACAAGGTTATATTATACTCTTGACTAAAGTTCACAATGTAAATTGCCTCCCTAGTCAAGACGGTTGTAAGAGTCAACCATCAGTTATCGTATTAACAGATAAAACATTTCTGTTATGAACATGAAGAGAGCTGAGTATGAAGATAAAGCCAAGTGTCCTGTACTGTATGGCAATAATGAATCACTCCATCTGCAATGTCTGCAACGTGTGACTTTGTTTCAATTCAATCACTTTTCTAATCAACAAAGTCCTTGTAATCACCAAAAGTTCTTCACTGTCTGAGTGTCAGATGATGACTTGGAACAACCACTCATTAACCCTCGGCGCGCATGCGCAGCGAGGGTTACGGTAGTTGGGTATGTCTGTCTGTTACTCGTCATCTCACTTCTCGAATATCTGTTCGTCTCACAAACGATACGACCTACTTAACGGGCGACGAAGGTCAGAAAATATGTGGGGTTTTCTCTGAAAATGCTTCGTTGCAAAGCTAGAGCGCTTCCGCCATTGTACGGCTAATGCTAGTCGGCCATTTTTATCGCTGCGTAAAATGCGCATGCGCTTATATTTAGCACAGGCTTACCTCGACCGGATCCGCTTGCTCTGTGTATCTTGAAAGCACAAGAAGTCACAACGAAGGGCGTGTATCGACTCTCGCATGCTATCTACTACTGTAGCTAGCCCGTGTCAGACTGTCTGCGAGCTACTAGCGGGAGACCGCGAGTAAACGCCAATAGCCCTGCCCAGGGCCCAGCCATTAGCGATATCGCGCATGCGCAGTTCGCCGAGGGTTTGCACTTTAGTGCTTTTCATTTAATCCTGAGAGACTTTGTCTGTTATGGGATCCCACGAATCCCCCATAGAAAATGATGCTATAGTATGGCACCACTGTGTGGAAAAGGTATGTGGACAATCTCTCATGTTTACCTGCTAGGCATCAACAAATCCTTAATTTTTTCTAAAGGTTTTACAAGCAACAATCGTATGAAAATAAACTAACTCTGTGCTGAAGTATGCTTCTATGACAGGCATGTTGCGCAAGTCACCACGCATGCACACAAAGCTAGTGTTTCTTCCAGCAGAAGAGACAGTGTTCTTGGACGACGATGGCAAAAGTGGAAGTTCAATTGCAATACCTGTCAAGACTCCATGTCACTCCCAGCTTTAAATTTCATCTTGTGCCTGTCATGTTCCTTTCCTGAGACTATCTACAAAGTTATAGAGATCTACTTTTGCTGCCTAGTTTCAACATAGATCATCTAGCTCTACTGTCTTTGAATACCTGCAGTATAGGGTTGGCTAGGTGTGGGCACCTCAAACTTCAGTATGATACATGTGGACTTCCTCCTAGAATAAAGCCCTCAAGGCATAACATCAGCCATTAAATGAGGATGTAGGGATATGTATAATGGGGGGAGGGTATAGCAACATCATCGGTTGCTAATTATGTGTATAGTTGGGCTCGCTCAAACTTCAGCAGGCACATTACCTCAGGGCGTAGCATCGCCCATTAAATGAGGATGTAGGGATATGTATATATAATGGGGGGAGGGTATAGCAACATCATAGGTTGGCCAATTCTGTGCATAGTTGGGCTTGCTCAACATTAAGCAGGCACATATTGAATGAAGGGGATGCACAATGTACTGGTATGATTGGTAAACAGTGTTCTTTCATGGCATACACTCTATTTAACCTTGTAGTACAAATAGGTTTGTGTTGTGGTGAACCCAAATAATCACTACTCTAATTCTGCACCTCTTGCAGGGATGCATCCATGATGGCAATGCGTCGTGCAATTGAAGGAAAAACACCGGAAGAGATTAAAAGTTTGCCAAAGGACAAACTAGAACAGCCAACCTCAATGGAGGATTTTCATGTTGCTGTAAGAAAGTGCTCCAAGTCTGTTTCACCAGCAGACCTTGAAAGATATACCAAGTGGATTGCAGAGTTTGGATCTGTATAAATCTTACAGTGTGCCTGTTTTTGTACTAGAGTATTGAAAGGTGTGCTATGTATATGATCATAATATTATGTTGCACACTTCTTTATCATGTAATCAGTAGTGGGCTGGGCTTCCCTGTTGACAACAAAGAAAGCAAACTCTGCCTAACAAGGGAAAGCTAGCTACTTGCTATGAAAACGGAAACAATTAGTTGTTGCCTGACCTTTCCCTCTGGACCAAATGGGTTAAGGACCTCACCATGTGGCATTCTGGGCCCAGCAACCTTTTGTGTTGATTAACCCTCAGAGCGCATGCGCTAGAGGGTTATAGTGCTTGGTCTGTGTGTGTCTCTTACCGCGTTTTCTGCCACCACGCGCAACACACCGGCCAAAAAGCGACACCGACTGGTTCTGGTTCAGGTTCAGCGCTACACACGTAAAAGTACTGCGTTCTAAAGTTATGACGTGAAAACCAAGTCAACAACAGGCTTACCTCGACCGGGTCCGCTCGCTCTGTGTATCTTGAAGGCACAAAAGGTCACAAAGGAGTGCATCTATCGACTCCCGCATGCTATCTACTATTGTAGCTAGCCCATGTCAGACTCTTCGCGAGCTACTAGCGGGAGACTACTATAATAGCCCAACCTATTAATTAGCGGTACTGCGCATGCGCAGTTCCCCGAGGGTTTGCACTTTAGTGCTTTTCTTCTTTTTTTAGAAACACTAGCGGTGCGCCTCGCTTTGCTCGGACAAAGTTACAGTAACAATTCGTACACCTTTGGGTTTGCTGATCCCTTTGTCATGACTAAAATCCTACTCTATGATTGTGCCCTATGGCCTCTATCAAATTGCAATAAACAATTTCATTGTTCTCTGTACTGCCAGCGTGTCTATTTTGCATCATTTATGTCTCATCGTTTAGATATAGATCATCCTTTGGTTAATATCGCGGACACTATGGATCTAGCTCTGTTTGAATCATCGCATATTAATGATAACGAATTTTTATCACTAGGTTGTCATTCACCCTTTGAGGATTATATTTCTGCTCTTTCTTCACAAAATCATCTATTTGCAATAATAAATCCTGCACACCGCAAAGACACAGAGTGCATGCGCAGTAACAGACCAGCATAGAAACGCGGCCACAAGTGCGCAATAAGACAAACAACGCATGCGCAGTAAATTACTGCGATAAAGATAAATTAGAGCGCATGCGCAGTAGTCAAATCTGCGCACACGCCATATGACCCTCTTATTTGTACAAGAGCACTAAGACAGACGCACCAACAACAAGGAAAAAAGAAAGAACCGACATACTATATGTGAAGTATCCGCGCAATCAGTTAACCAATGGTGTCGGGTTTTTAAAACTCATTCACTTTCCTCTCTGGCCCTCAGTCAAGTGACAGTAAAAACAGTTAAACAAGTCAAGTGACAGTTAAAACCCTTTGGGTGCCATTTACATATATATATGCACAGAGCCTCCAAAAGTGCATAAGAATTTATATAATATGGCTATAATACTAGGCGCTAATATGTTATATATACACCAATTTCTGCTTATTAAGAAGACACCTATGGCGCCCAAAGGGAAGTAGTCCTTGACAAAAAACAAAAAACGAAGACGAGGAGAAAGGACAAAGGGTCGTCATTGCTTGTCATTCACCCTGTGAGGATTTCTGTTGTACCTATTTTCAAGAATAAATCCTGCACATTGCACAATGCAGGGTGCATGCAGTAAATTATGCCAAGCATCTGTGCAATAAGACAAGGAGCTCATGCGCAATAAAAAAAAAAACATTGCCATAAAGAAACACTCGCGCATAAGCAGTAAAAGATCTCCAGACTAGGCCGTGTTTTCAGAGGTCTCTCTGGTTGAATCAACTCTTCATCTCTTCCAAAAGCTTGCAATAATCTCTCTGGAGGGAAAATGCATCTGCGCTCACTGTTCTAATCGCTCCGCCTGACGCACAAGCGGCAAGTCTACATGTCGGACAGTTTTCTCTTCTCATCAGAGCTCAGACTCCCTCGTTGCACCGGTTAGCAATTACGTGTAGTTATGTAAGGCCTCAGGCGTTAGCTCTAAGGCGTCCTTCCCACTTGCCAGGGCGAGAATCCACCCCCTGTTCTTTTGGCGGAGTGAACTAATAGTCTCTCCATCCCCGCTTGGTCCTGTTGCCAAAGGGTCTGCCAGCAGCTTGGGTGATGTCTGGTGATGTGTCTCCCAGTAGAGCCCCATCAGTCTCCTCTTTTCCCCCCTGGAATAGCCTCCTGATCTTCACTCTCGCTGACTTCTGTTCCTCCCGAGGTGTCATAGGTTTGTTGCTGAATTTGGGGTATAGTCGAGTCTTCCCCTTCTAGATCGGAGTTCGCACTCCGAGCTCCTTTGTAAGTGTTAGCTGGGGATCCATGTCCGCAGTAACCGCCTCTCCATGTTCGCTCTCTGTCTCAGTAGCGTTCTGTTGGGGCGGAAGAACACTCCCGTAAAAAAAAAGTAGCCTCTGTCTGTCGTAGAAAATACTGAAGCCTACAGTAGCAAATACTGACATCACCCTCTCCTTTCTTCCTCATCACGAGGAAGAGGGAGATGAGCTAGAGTTCCCTTGACCACGGGACAGCAAGCCACAGGCCTAAGGAGGGAATGCCGGTAGTTTATTCACAGTGAGCCCAATATGTGTATGGCTGGTGTTGTAAATGTGGCGTGACTCGTCTTCCAACTAATGATCATTCTTTGCACGTGTGGAAGGGAGAGAGGGAACAGAGGGAGAGGGTAATGTCAGTTTGGCTTCAGTCTTTTCTACATGTGCAGTCAGTGTTTCATGAGCTATATCATCTCCCCTCCTCTCTCTTTCTAAGTTGCTGGAGCAGGACAGTGATGGAATCACTTACGGAACGCGGCTTGAAACCCCCTGATCATGTGGTGCTAGACGATCATAGAAATAAGGGTCTCTGTCCTCTATCCCTTCTCTTATCTTCCACACTGACTGTGTTGGTTAGTTATTGTTGTAGATACATACTATTGTATGCAAATAATATAAGGCAAACAGCACAGCTATACTCAGGTGAATTCAATGAAAAAAGAGCTTCCCTGGGTGTGATTCAAACTACAACACTCTGCAGTCCAGGCAGAGAGCTTTACCCTTTGTGAAAGTCATTACTATTAGTATTTGTGATACTCTCTTGCCAAGGGGAGGGGAGTGGGAGGGAGAGCATTGCTAGCCGAAGGGAGGGGAGGGGGTACGCGGAGGGGAGGGGAGTGGGTTGGAGCATTGCTAGCCAAGGGGAGGGGAGTGGGAGGGAGAGCATTGCTAGCCGGGAGGAAGGGAGTAGGTTGGGGCATTGCTAGCCAAGGGGAGGGGAGTCGGAGGGAGAGCATTGCTAGCCGGGAGGAAGGGAGTAGGTTGGGGCATTGCTAGCCATCATCAGTACAGATAATATTGTATGCACAGTTTTGGTCTATTGCCGTTGGCCAGTTCCTACCACACTAAGTAGGCATTCTCATGATCACATTGTCGCAAAAGAACACGTGACTCCCGCTCCTTGATTAGTGTCCTGATTACTGAGGTGTCCTGATTAGTGAAATGTCCTACTCTCTGGTGTCCTGATTTCTAAGGTTTCCTGCTCTCAGATGTCCTGATTACTGAGGTGTCCTGATTAGTGGGGTGTCCTGATTAGTGGGGTTTCCTGCTCTCAGGTGTCCTGATTACTGAGGTGTCCTGATTAGTGGGGTGTCCTGCTTTCTGGTCCTGATTAGTGAGGTGTCCTGCTCTCAGGTGTCCTGATTAGTGATGTAAATGTCGCGCCTCACACACCGACCACCACTGCGCATGCCCTACTATGTATATCCGGTGAAAATTGTGCACATGCGCTGTTCAATTCAAATCGTTGGTGTGCGCTATATGGTGTGCATCATATTATATAGAGGTAGTGTGGGGCTAAACCTTTATAGTAGAATAAAACACAGTTCTAATTTAGTGTGGGCTTTTCTCTTCTTTCACTTCTCTAGCAAGTCTTCTCACTGGAGTTGGACCTCTTGTCCTTCAGTCCTGAAGAGAGAGAAGGTGAGCACTAATTAGACAGTGTTCTCCCCAGGAGAATTGTAAGGCTTATGGGAAGCAAGCAATGTTTGATTTATCAGGGCAACTGGAGAGTGATGAAGTGCGCCCCCTAGGGGGGTCTGGAGGCATGCTCCCCCAGGAAAATTTTGAAATTTAAGACATCCTGAGAGTGTTTCTGGTGCACTCTGGCAAATAATATGGCCTCTTGCCAGGCCTACATAGTCAAGTACATACAAGCTTGATTGGGTATCTCCAGGTAGCTAAACTTCAAGTGTAAATGTGTCGAGGTGGCACCGCCGGCTAACACTGTCCCCGCCGCGCCGAACCAACATTGCTGCTGCCGCGTGCCACGCGTGCCTCCCTTCACTATCAACTATGACCATCTGACCATCCAAGGAAAATCACTAGCCCATCTAGGATCAATACCTGTTTTTCTATGTTTACTCCGCACGGAGCTCTCACAAGTAGCGCCACCTGCAGGCCGCTTCGCCATACCGCTGCCGCGTCGAGCCAAAACCAACACGTGAAATGGGTGTGGCTAAGGATTTACGCGCATGCACACACGTAAAACCTGTCGCGCGAACGCTTAGCGGCCCATATTCCTTTCGTGTATAACGCATAGCGGAGCGCTAAGCCAAAACGGCCTGGGGGGAACACGGTGAGAATGAACACCTTTTACAATACGGGTTTTTGAAGGGGAGTTGCAGGGAGTGTTGGTAGATGAGGGGAAGGGAGTGGGAGGGAGCGTTGGTAGATGCAGAGGGGAAGCGAGCAGGAGGGAGCGTTGATAGATGGGGAGAAGGGAGTGGGAGGGAGCGTTTAGATGAGGGGAAGGGAGTGGGAGGGAGTGTTGGTAGATGAGGGGAAGGGAGTGGGAGGGAGCGTTGGTAGCAGAGCGGAGGGGAGTTGGAGAGAGCATTGGTAGCCAAGCGGAGGTGGGGTGGGAGGGATCAAGAGTTGGTAGCCGAGGGGAGGGGAGTTGCTTAGCAGACTTAGTGTAATAATGTCACTTTCTGTGTGCATACATACATCACTACTTAGTGCACCAGTGATACTGTCATTAAGAATCGACCCATTTTATCCCAGCACTCTGTGTTGTGAGTAATTTAAGCGAGTAAGTGCTGGCATGGACAGCTTTCTTCACTGGGTTACCTCAGATTAATTATTCCGAGTGTCTCACTCCCGATCTCATGCCTGGTAGACTTAAAGAATGGTGAGGAGTGTGTAGTCAGAAGGAGAGGAAGAAAGGTAGAAAGGAAAGAATGAAAGAAAAATCAGCTCTACCAGTGGGATATATAGTTAGTGCACCAGTGATACAGTCATTTAAGAATCGACCCATATACAGAAACTGCCATCTTCATTACGTGCTGCAATGAACTATACTCAAGGTACATTTTTACGCACATTTTCTAGCCAAGAGTTTCCATACATGTACATTATGTAGGGGAAGGAGTATGCAAGTAAATAATACTCCCTACGTATGTATCTCTCTGTACAAGCACTCGGAAAACTAATTTGAAAGGCGAATTGGCGTGTATGACACAAGTGTGTTATTTCACTGTGCAACATGAGCAGCCATACCTACATACGAATAGCCAGCCCAGCTCCTGTAGGGACCTAATGACCTGGTGGTTCCACTAAATAATAATTATGTTGCTACGACAAAAAACGTTCGTGACTCGCTGCCCTGTACACTAAGTAGTTACCATATTATGTCCTCCCGTATGGGCCAATGTCTACATTTTTCTCATCGAATAACGTTCATGTTATGTACAATGTGAGTGAGTGACTTTGTTTTCATGTGTATGGTGTAGCTGATTTGTGTCATTCTTTTTGTTCTTTTTATACAGCAAATCTGCTGGTTAAAAAGCTGCCAATGTAATGGTGAGTTAGTACGGTAAGAATACGAATGGTAGAGGTACAGTAAACCATTATAGTAACTTGTACAGCAGAAAAGCTACATATTTTAGTTTTGGCTTTCTCTCTCTTCCTCTAATCTCACTTCTCTAGGCCAGTAAGTGTATGTTGACTTCTTTTCTTTTAACATCCTAACTTCTCACCCACTTCGGGAAGGTGATCACTAATTGGAATGAACACGTATCTACAGGTAGATTACATGGTTAAACCACTCGTTTCCAGGCTTACTTTCTGCCTACAATTTGATAAATTCTGGCGTAACTGCCTTTTTTACTCAAAATGGAGAGTGTTTTTCTACCGATGCTCTGATACTAGCCTTGTTCCCAGGCTGTATCTGGAAACGGCCTTGTGGAAGGTTAGCTTCGTTCTTTCTAACAAGAAGTGGCGAATTTCGCACGCACAAAGCATCTACAGGTAGATTACATGGTTAAACCACTCGTTTCCAAGCTTACTTTCTGCCTACAATTTAATTAATTATGATAAATTCCGGCGCAACTGCCTTTTTTACTCAAAATGGAGTGTTTTCTACCGATGCTCTGATACTAGCCTTGTTCCCAGGCTCTATCTCCATATAAATTATTGTTATATGTTTGTTCTCTTGTGCATGGTTTTTTGTAAGCCAGTGTCGTTTGATATCTGCAGCTTCAAAGTTAATTTATACCATAGCATATGAATGCAGTTTTGTAAGTGATTTTACGTTCATATTCTGCGATGTACGTACGTATTCTGCCGGTACCTTTTCCCCCCTTTCTGAATGGTGATATATGGAGGCTAACTGCTCGACATTGAAACGAAAACGAGGTATGCTACAATTTACCAATGTATACCATACACTACTAGTGTGCAGTGCCATATCTTGCATTTTGGATATGCAGGGGTATTTTCCCTCATCAGTACATATAAATGGCTCAAATCGTCGGTGGGCAGGAGAACTTCCTTGACAGGTGGGTACTGTACGTCCTGCGTGCATACAAGTCCTTCAAGGCAATGGGGAATCGTCTGGACTGGTCAATCAGAGCCATTGCATCCGCTTCTCTTCAGCTGGCACTGAGGAACATTCCAAGGCCAAACGACTCCCTAACTTGGGCAGAAAAGAGAGCTGGGATGTAGACGAAGTCTCACTGCTGTAGACCAAAGAGCTCTGCGATCTCACATTCGAGCTCCAGCACTGTCGTTGCAGGAGTGACTCTGACTTCGCCTGTCCCTATGCCAATCAAGGAGATGGGGAGAAGAAACGGTCGCGGTCTAGTCAGACAGATGGGCGGCACTCTGACGAAGCAATCCAACTCTGTGTGATGGGACTTTAGAGGGTCTAACGGTTGCAGTGGATAGATCCCCTCCGGCTCACGTAAATGTAGAGCCACATGCGACGATTGCAGGTAAAGCGCTTCTCGCATAAAGTATTGTAATTCGCCTGAAAGATAGACAAACCGGCATGCTGATTTTGAGTTTCTTCGTCCCTCCAGCCATCGGCTGAGTGCGCACAACGTACGAGGGCCACACATTTATGTTCAGTGTCTGCTTTGGATACTGGTTGAACTTGCGAGCCTCCCAGCCGCATCCCCAGTGGCGTTTCACCGCTGAGCCATATGCGTCTCTCGCAAAACAACTCCAGTGTTGGCGGCTTCGGCAGAGGGAAATTCCTGTTGTGTGGAGGAAAGGTATGCATCTGTCTTTGATGGATCTGCCGCCACTTTGACCCTGTAGGTTATGAAACAATAGTAGATATACACGTTGTGCAGCCCAATGGCAGTTTTAGTCTTGGGAGAGGGCCATACCAACTACTACGGTGATCGCGAGTCACGCCCCTGATTGTGCGCATGCGTAGTTCTGAACTGAGTATGCACACGGAGGAGGGGAGCATGCACACACAGAAGTGGGGCTTCTATGACATTGTGTTAATCTGGGTCTGAATGTATCGTGCATTGCTAGTTCCTTCCCTGGGGTGTGCTGTCTGACATTGAACGTGTGCATGTGCAGCACCAGACATTGCCATGTTCTATAACACTAAAAAGGATGCAGTAGTGATATGCAGTCCTACGTATGAAGCAATGTTGTATCTCCTATTAGGCTCTTCCTGCCGTGACGATGGTGACTCCAGATGGGAGAAAGAGCTTATGGAAGTTTGTGATGGTAAATGGATTGCTGTTAGTAGTTCTGAAGGTGAGTCTTGGGCGACTGTGAGTGATAGAGAACAGACTGACGACTGTGAGTGATAGAGAAAAGATTGACGACTGTGAGTGATAGAGAACAGACTGACGACTGTGAGTGATAGACATACTGACGACTGTGAGTGATAGAGAACAGACTGACGACTGTGAGTGATAGAGAACAGACTGACGGCTGTGAGTGATAGAGAACAGACTGGCGACTGTGAGTGATAGACATACTGACGACTGTGAGTGATAGAGAACAGACTGACGACTGTGAGTGATAGAGAACAGACTGACGGCTGTGAGTGATAGAGAACAGACTGATGAAAATGGGTGTGTCCCAAGCTGGTCGACAGCCGATGGGAGAGGACTGAGCATTATAGCTCGAAGTTGGAGAAGGGAGCATTGTATCCGATGGGAGATGACTGAGAGTTAGCATTATACGAAACGAAACATGTGCAAGCTCCTGTGGTCTCTAGTAGGCTCGAGGAGCTCATAATAAAATGCACAAAACAAGCATGTTTCCAATTAGCGACAATGGGAGCTCTAAAACCTCCAAAAAAGCAGAAGAGAGAAACATGTTTGCAATTGGGCTTTGCTTACACAAATATATTTTTGGTGAGCAGATATCCCGGTGTCCACATTCGCTTCACCTGGGAGAGAATTGTGATGTTCCACTGTTCTCTGCTGATGGTGAAATATGATTATGATTGCCATGTGCATTAGGAGTGGGGCCAGCTGAAGAGTCCTCCCACTATAAAAGTAATGGACGAAAACCATCTGTGGAGGATTACTTCCTTGGATGGTTCCTGGCTACTCCTGATTTCATTCCAGGTGCTAGCTTGTTACAAATGAGAGAGAGAGAGAGAGAGTAAATAGCTATCTGATAAGAATTGCTGAGCAGTGTATGGACCTTTCCATCCATATGTGATTTTGATGTCGATCTAGCCTGAGAGAACTCTATTCCACGGCATGCGTTGCAAGCTTCGGTGACTGACCGAGGCTGTACCTCTTCCCAATCCTCATGGTTCGAAGGTGCAACTTGGAAATAAGTACCGTTCTGCTTACCTGCTCACCGTTCTGGCAATATACAGTACGCATGTAACGGCGACAGGTAGTTCTGTCTTGCTTCACGAAAGGAAAGCTGTGCGCTGACGGCACGTTATGCAGCCCCAACATTGCTGGCAAATCCCGGGTTGGGTCGCTCCCGTTCGCCAACAATGTTCAACATTTCCACTAGTACAAGTATACTTGTTTGCGGTAGTGCTACATATTATGTGCTCGGAAGTGCAAGTGTCACACAGCAGAATTGTGTGTGGGTGTGCACTCTTCATGCATGAGCAGGTATAATTATACTCGAGATCAAAATTATAGTCGAGAGACCCAACACTGTTGCAGCTGCATTTGTCACGCGATACATTACGCCAAACAGTCATGTGCACATCTCTTGTAGCAAGTAATTGGTCTATTTTCTCAAAAAGTGATGATGTGATGTGATGTTGATGCACAATGTTTGCTAGCTCCTGTAATTATAGTCTCAATTAGACTCTAGGAGCTCAAAATACAATGCAGAAAACAAGCATGTTGCAAGTATGGAAGCTGTAATACCTCAAAATACTGGTGAAATGCAGAAGACAAACATGTCTACAAGCTCCTGTGGTCTAAATAAGCATGTTTGCAATTAGCAAGTACGGGATAGCTCTGGGAGCTCAAAAAATACAGGTAAAATTCAGAAGAGAAACATATTTGTGTGCTCCTGTGCTTTCAATTAGGCTCTAGGAGCTCAATATAAAAAGCACAAAACAAGCATTTCCGATGAGCAAGTATGGGAACTCGGGAGCCAACACTGATCAGCCACGTCTTCGAACTCTGACTCCGACTACATGATCCAATTGATTCGTCTGATTGAACCTCATTTTAGTTTGTGAATGTGCCCTTGCTTATTTATGCAATGTCCATGGACATGTGTGTTTGAACATCCTCTTAATGACGATTGCCCCCAGCACATAAAAAATACGTTCACAGTAGAACCTCTGATAAGGACATTCCGAATAAAGGACACAATAGCAAAAAGGATATCGCAAACATACACTACATCTTTAACTTCTGAAGAGAGGACAACCTCCCTATGAAGGACAAAATTCCTGGTCCCAATATGTCCATTATTTGTAGTTTCCACTGTAGTCAGGCGTCACTTCCTTTGCCAATGAGGGAATTTTCGACTCAATCAGACTACCTTAGACTATCGATCTTCTTGCACATCAAATCCACAGATCAGTGTGTTGTAGCACTTTCAGTGTATTATAGGCGACTTTTTATCTACACATGCACGCGCACTATTACGTTAAAAAAAGAGAAAGTTGGAGTGTCAACTACAACACTATTGTGTACACAAAACTGACAGAAGAGGAAAAGGAGAGAAGAGAAAAAAGAGAGGGGGGGAGGGGAGAAAGTAGCGGGGAAGATGATCTAATCATTCAAATCCAGCTCTGCAATGTCTTCGGGATCGAGACTGCCCCCTCGAGGAGAACACAGAGAATACTCAAATACCTGAATGAAACTGCCTCCGTCACACAACGCTTGTTGGCCTTCTTTGGTGGCGTGAGCAACAAGCTCTGCCTTCTCTTCAGTCTCACTTCCCGAGCCAGGGCGGCCTCTTGTGTGTGCACATCCTCTATATAGTTGTTTTTGTCTTGCAAGTCTCCGCAGCATTTTCTTGATGTCAGTCGAGGGTTTTGGGTTCTCAGTTTCTGGTGCCCCATCCAATTGTTCTCAGTAGTACTACTGGAACTCTTACTGAGTTGTTGTATTGTACTAATGATGTAGTGTGAGTCTCATATGGATCTGTTCTTGACTGCCCTCCATTTCGCTGTCTTCATTCTCATGTTTGTTCTCACGTTTCTAGCTTTTATAGGCTACCAGCCCTGCTGACGGATGCGCGCTACCCTCGTACAGCTATGTAATGTCGTGGCCTGGAGGCACCTCCCTATTAACCTCATTTAACCAATGATTAAACGAGGTTCGGTAACATTTTAATACAGACAACTCTCTTCTTCCGTTTTCACTTCTTTTCCGCTCTCGTCTGTTCTGACTTCTGTTCTCTCTCACTCTATGTTTACCCACATTTTCTGCACTCTGTTCCTTATCTTCTCCTTCGCCCACAACCTGACACACCACAACAACCTTTCCTCCTTTCCTTCCCCTCTCTCGCCTGCCTTGCTCTCTTCTGTCTATCGATCAATGTCCTCTTTGTAGTCCCACTGCTCTTCACTCTTCTGTCCATTTCCGAACGTTTTATCTCACACTTTGGCGTTGTTGTGTCCGGCTATTAAGGTGCGCATGCGCATTTTCCGGTTATCGACACATGCGTCTGCTTACCTACCCCTTGACCGAGTGTGGATTCTTCCACTGGTGAGTATAACATTTGTGTCGGGTGAGTAGTCTCGCTGAGACTTGCTGGCTAGCTGCGAGGGACCCGCAAGTGCAGTGTAGCTAAAGTAAAAATAGCTAACTCCGTACGGACTTCGAAGTACCGCGAACAATATTATCCAGGAGCTCATATATAGCTCTGCAGGGCCGTCACTGGATCCATGCCTTTGCTTGATGTAATCAACATTGTACCGGGTCGGTTGTGTCTGGAGTTATACGCACTTGAGAATGCCGGGATGCATATTCCTTAGGCTGGCCATGATCTTCCACTGAAAGAGCCCTCTTGTTACTGGTTAGCACATGTATGGACTAGCTGGTAACTGGTGTTGTTGCTCAGAGTTGTTTGTTAGTTGTAGGGGAGGACAAACTGTAGGTCTGAGCACCTCCTCATGCGGACCAGGCTACGACTAGAATGGGAAAAGGGAAGAAAAATACGAAATGCGGTCTGGTTGACCCCACGCTGGCCCGTAACCCTGGCAGGTGTAGCCAGACGTTCACGACTAATTGTAACTCTAACTTTGATGTGCATACTTTCTTTTTTCAGGCTCTGTGTGCCCTGATAATGGCACAGAAGAGACCAGAGAAGAATCCAAGGTTGGGGGTGAGTGTGAATTTGTGGATAGTTCTGAGAGTGAGTGTGATGATGATTTTGAGGGTGAGTCAGGGAGTAGTTGGGAGAGTGAGTCCAATGGCAATGACTCACTCTATATTCCCACACCTATTGGTGGAGAAAAGACTCACCCCATTGATTTGCCCAATAAATTGGGTTTTATTGCCTTGCCTCAATTGGGGAAATTGAATGAGGTTCGTGGCTGCAAAACCCCTGGTTGTAAGGGAAATTTAGTTCCCGTTCATGTGCACAGCCAAGGATTGGGTAGCGCATTTTCCATTACTTGTTGTTGTGATGGGTGTGCCATGAATGCTGTGGTACTTGATACATGTGTGAAGAATGAGAAACTGTGTGGGAACACAAATGCTGTGGGCATGTGTGTTCAAATTGCCTTTATCATTGCCGGTAGTACTCATGCTGTCTACTACAAGAAACTCTAGGGATCAATGCTGTGTGTATGAATGTTTTTATGGATACAATATATTACATGTATCCTGTTGTAAAATCGATGCTTGACATTATTAACCCTCGGCGCGCATGCGCAGCGAGGGTTACGGTACTTGGGTCTGTGTGTCTGTTACTCTCAATCTCACTTCTT